GTAATATATGTGAAGATGATTAGTAATATATGTGAAGATGATTAGTAATATATGTGAAGATGATTAGTAATATATGTGAAGATGATTAGTAATATATGTGAAGATGATGGTATTTTGTTTCCATTTGTTCGTCTTTGCTCAAACAGGAAGCCTATGTGCAGAAGATGGTAAAGGTTTGCAACGACTCGGACCGCTGGAGTCTCATCTCTCTCTCCAACAACCGAGGAAAAAATGTGGAGCTGAAGTTTGTCGATTCTCTCCGGCGTCAGTTCGAGTTCAGCGTCGACTCGTTTCAGATCAAACTGGACTCTTTGCTGCTGTTTTACGAGTGCTCAGAAAACCCCATGGCTGAGACCTTCCACCCCACCATCATGGGTGAGAGTGTGTTCGGCCACTTCAGCCAGGCCCTGGACCACCTTCATCACAAGATCATCTGCACCAGGAACCCAGAGGAGATTCGAGGTGGGGGTCTTCTGAAGTACTGCCACCTGCTGGTGAGGGGCTTCCGGCCAGCATCAGAGTCTGAGATGAAGTCCCTGCAGCGCTACATGTGCTCCCGCTTCTTCATAGACTTCCCTGATATCAGTGAGCAGCAGCGCAAGCTGGAGTCCTACCTTCAGAACCACTTTGTTGGCCTGGAGGACCGCAAGTACGACTACCTGCTGACCCTCCATGGAGTGGTCAACGAGAGCACCGTGTGCCTGATGGGACATGAGAGGCGGCAGACCTTAGGCCTCATCGCCATGCTGGCAGTGCGTGTCCTCGCTGAGCACAACGTCATCCCCAACGTGGCTAAAGTTACGTGTTACTACCAGCCTGCTCCTTATGTGGCCGACGGCAACTTCAGCAACTATTACATCGCTCAGGTGCAGCCAGTGTTCACCTGCCAGCAGCACACATACTGCACATGGCTGCCATGTAACTGAGTGCCCCTCTGAGAGAGGACGGTGGTCTCTTTAAACAGGACTGGACACTTGACTCATGTCCTCACATCAGTGTGTTGCAGCTGCACAAGCACAAATCACCTGCTGAATGTTTTACATCAAAGCTTGTTTCAGTTCATCCTGTGAGAAGAACACATCAGAACAGCTGCCCTCAACTTTCAGGGCTGGTTTTAATGTGAGCCACGTTTAAAACGGAACAAAACACCAACCTCAGCTTGATGCTGCTCAGGTCTGGAAAACACTCGTTTGTGTCAGTCCTGACACACACACACACACACACACACACACACACACACACACACACACACACACACACACACACA